TTTGGTTAGTCATCCTCTTTCCTTTCTTTATCAAAGGCTAAAGTTACTTTGCTTCGGTTTGCCCTTTACTTTTTGTTGATTTACTATACAAAAAATATTAAATCTTAAAAGACGGTGTATTGCTGCTGGGTACTCGTTTGATAAAATTGAACCCTAATTGATAGAAATCCTAAATCTATGGTTAGTCTTTGCATGGAGCTATCTTCTTAATCCAAAAATTCTTAATGAAAATGTTATAATTATAATATCATGTGGTATTATAAACTTATTATGTGATGTGTTATTATATAATTAACTTTTTCTATTTAAGGATTCACTATGATATTGTATGTATTTATTTATTTAATTAATACCACATACAATTATAAGTTTATAATTTTACGTAACATTATAAATATAATATTATTGTAATTCTTAATAATTTTGGTTAGTCATCATCTCTTATAATATGATATGCTATTATATAATTAACTTTTTCTATTTAAGGATTCACTATGATATTGTATGTATCCATTTATTTAGTATTACATTATATTTAATTAATACCACATACAATTATAAGTTTATAATTTTATGTAACATTATAAATATAATATTACTACAATTCTTAATAATTTTGGTTAGTCATTCTTTTAATTTCTTTTCTTTATCAAAGGCTAAAGTTACTTTGTTTGGGTTTGTCTTTTCCTTTCTTGTTGATTTAATATAAAAAATATTAAACCTTCAAAGACGGTGCATTGGTTTTGGGTACTTGTTTGATAAAATTAAACCCTAATTGATAGAAATCCTAAATCTATGGTTAGCCTTTGCAAGGAGTTGTCTTCTTAATCCAAAAATTCTTAACAAAAATATTATAATTATAATATTACGTGGTATTATAAACTTATAATATAATGTGTTATTATATAATTAACTCTTTTTATTTAAGGATTCACTATGATATTTTATGTATCCAATTATTTAGTAATACATTGTATTTAATTAATACCATATACAATTATAAGTTTATAATTTTATGTAACATTAGAAATATAATATTACTGTAATTCTTAATAATTTTGGTTAGTCATTCTTTTAATTTCCTTTCTTTATCAAAGGCTAAAGTTACTTTGTTTGGGTTTGTCTTTTCCTTTTTGTTGATTTACTATAAAAAATATTAAACCTTCAAAAACGATGCATTGGTGTTGGGTACTCATTTGATAAAATTGAACCCTAAATGATAGAAATCCTAAATCTATGGTTAGTCTTTGCAAGGAGTTGTCTTCTTAATCCAAAAATTCTTAACGAAAATGTTATAATTATAATATCACATGGCATTATAAACTTATAACATGATGTGTTATTATATAATTAACTCTTTCTATTTAAGGGTTCACTATGATATTGTATGTATTCATTTATTTAGTAATACATTATATTTA